CCCCTGTGTGCCTTGGCAGTCTCAAGTAAAGGAAAGAAAGGTTGTTTTCATGTTGAAAAACAACTCTAATTGATCATCTCGACATCTAGATGTATGAATATGAAAAAAAAAATGAGTCCCAGAAATAATGCATATTGCAACCAGTGGAATTATGTGTGTTGCACATAAAAATGAAATAAATGAGTTGCACATAAAAAAGGAATAAATAGATCATATAAGTAATTGCGTAAATATATAATGTAGATAACATATAAATGCAATGTGCATTCACACAACTAATCACATATTGTATTGATAAGCAATAAACGGTTATGAACCACATAAAAAATCAAAAACCAAAAAGAATGAAAGTAGCAAAGAGATGCATTATTAGATTTATTCAAGAAATAATTAATTAAAAGAAATTAATCATTTTTACTTTTTCTCTTTTTCTAATTTTGTTGGACGTGTATTTGTACCTGAATTAGGAGATTAGTAAATAAACATATAAGTGGGCGTGTATTTTTTCTCCATCTTGTGCTTACTCTCTCTCCATCTTTATCTCTGTCATCTACGTCCTAGTAAAATGTTGGTCGCAAGTCTTACTCTCTCTCCGCGGCTTTCTCTCCATCTTTATCTCTGTCATCCTCATCCGACTAAAATTTTGGTAGCAAATCTCTCAAGTCGTACTCTCTCTCTCTCTCTATTTATCTCTGTCATACACATCCTACTAAAATCTTGATAGCAAATCTCTCATGTCTCTTTAAATTTCTCATTATCTCTTGTGCGTCTCTTGTGTCTCTTAAAAAAATCTCTCGTTCTTTTTCTTTTGTGTGTCTCCTAAAATCTCTCCTTCTCCCACTTTCGTGTCTAATAAAATCTCTCATTTTCTCTACTCTCTCTCTCCATCTTTATCTCTATAATCTACATACTACTAAAATCTTGGTAAAAAATCTCTCATCTCTCTTTAAATCTCTCTCATGTGCGTCTCCTAAAATCTGTCATCCTCAAATTTATCATTCTCTCTCTCTCTATCTTGTGCCTTGTGCGTACTCGCTCTCCGTCTTTTTCTTTAGATAGAAAAAGGCCTTCTAACGATGAACCATGCCGTCCTCCGTCTTAGAAAGAGGATGAACCATGTTTTCCTCTTAAGTCGGGAACCGATAAACCAAGTTCGCCACTGACCGGAAAAACTCAACCAAGAAACAGTATCATGGGATATGGGCAAGAAATTTTACCAAATAGCTGCTCTTTCAGATCTTCCAGTTCGCCACTGACCGGAAAAACTCAACCAAGAAACAGTATCATGGGATATGGGCAAGAAATTTTACCAAATAGCTGCTCTTTCAGATCTTCCTGCATGGTGTCCTTGTTGCACACAAAAAAACAAAATGAGAGGGCATGCAACAACCATAAAATCAAGAGGAATTATCTCTAATATGCCCATATTTTCGAGAAATTAGAAAAAAAAATCTCAACTTTTCAAAACCTCACCCATATCCTTTTGCCCCATTTTCATGAAATTTTACGGAAGTCGTTGTACTGTAAAACCAATTACGATATTTTTAATACCGTAATCAAGATTACGGTAATATGCTTACCGTATTTTTCTTATAATAACTTACGGTATTTTTAGTACCGTCATACGTCGAAAATATATTACAGTAGTACACATACCGTAATATTATATAATGTTATGTTTACAAGAAACTATGGTAGTACCGTAAACAATCCGAAATACTGTACGGTTCCCTTACACTTATTATCTCTCTCAAATTATATTAAAAAGATATGATATAGATTGCTTTTTCTCTCTTTCTCTAAAATAAGCTCTTCGGCTCTCTTATACATATTCGCTCTCTTATACATATTCTCTTTCTTACACTCACTCTCTCTCTCTCTGTTTAATGATTATTCATTAGAATGAAATTACCCTCTTTTTTTTTTATTTTTTTTTGTAATTATTCGTTATAATGAAGAGAAATGTATATTTTAAATTTTGAAATTCTCTTTCCTACACTCGCTCTCTCTCTCTCTGTTTAATGATTATTCATTAGAATGAAATTACCCTCTTTTTTTTTGTAATTATTCGTTAGAATGAAGAGAAATGTATATTTTAAATTTTGAAATTCTCTTTCTTACACTCTCTCTCTTTTTAATGATTATTCATTAAAATGAAATTACCCTCTCTTGTTTTTGTTTTTTTTTTTAATTATTCGTTAGAACTATGAGAATGTATATTTTAAATTTTGAATCAAACAAGTGGCTATAAGATGGTTTTTTTTAAAGTTGTTGCGTCGTATTAATGTACAAACGGTTGCATGAAACCGTTGGGCTTTAATTGAAAGGCAGAAAAGATGGCCAGAAAATATGACCACCCCTTAACACTGGGTGCGGGATAGATATGTGCACAGCACACTATCGATTGTTTGAACGCGTTCCATTCACTCTGTCTTAAAATCTCTCTCTGCTTCTTTGAAGGACTCTCTGCTTCATTTTCTTTCAAAGGAGGAGGAGGAGGAGAAATAAGGGATAATACGTATAGAGAAGAAGACAACACGAACATCAAAACCTGGTGGCTACGTCTCCTCATCCTCTGAAATTCTTCTTATATTTGCTTTCTTCCCGCTTCTTTCCTCTTATTTGAGTGGTAAGCACCGCGTTGGGCAAAACCAACTCCTTAAATCTCAGCCACTATGCCATTCTGTGAGGTTTAGGGGCTAAAATTATACCACTCGTGAGGATTTTGTTCCAAAATTACATAAAATCATAGAACCCTAACTTCTCAGCAGTTGCTACGGAAAATTCGCGGACATATGCTTCCAACTGAGCTAACGAAAATATAGTCACTATTGTACCGTAATATCAGCTTAGCAGTTATTTATCTATTACCATTTATGTTTCTTTTTTGTTATAATTTGAGAATTGATACACACTTTTGGACCTTAATTTGAAGAACAGTTTGTTTCTAATTTCCAAGTTATGGATGGGATTTTTTTTTCGAGATGTGAAAAAGGTTAACTTTTATAATAGATATGTAGTATTAGTACCTAGCACTGATGGTTCCTTTTGGAGTTTATTTGTATTTTCGATCAATAGGGTTGACCTGCTCTATTCAAGATTGGCTAAGCACTTGCATGAATTTTTTTTTATCCCCGTGGCACTAGTAGCTTTCATTATTTCGTTACAAAATTATACCCTCATCATATACTGATGAGGACACTTTTATTTTTCCTCTTTAATTTCTAAAAAAGATACCTTCCTCTCTCACCTTCTCTTTTGTCTCTTCATCTTTCCTACTCATAGTACCCTTTGTTCTATGCATCTATAAATTTTGATTTCCAATTTTTTCCTTTTCTAATGAGTACTTAAACTCTCTTATTAGTTTTGGAACAATTTTTTTTTTTTTTTTTAAGATCATCCATATCTCACAGGTTTACTTACAATGAATATGATTGGTTAATTGTATATCCTTATGTTTTTGGTTTCCCTTATTGGACAACATGATTTCGTTTTATCTTTTCATTAACTAGAATGTGGTCTATATTTCTGGCTAGTAAATATGAGATGAATAATTGTCTCTTTCTTTTCTTCAGGAAAAAAATATGTCTTATCCTATTAGTTGATTTTCCATGTAATTCTTATTATTATTATGTATGCAATTCTGATAAAACAATGGATATCCTTCCTACTGTAGTATGAAGGCTCACTAAAGGAGGCATGACGACGTTTGCTCGACCCACATGGGCACCTGCGAAAGGTGGCCGTGAGCAAGGTGGTACTCGCATTTTTGGACCTTCTCAGAAGTACTCATCAAGGGACATTGCTTCCCACACAACCCTGAAGCCCAGGTAGACATTATCTTTCTCTTTTATGCTTCCTTTGACATCTGACTACTATCAGTATTTTATGTTGTTTTGATATTGTTGCAGGTGTGTTTCTGAAATTTTAATGTTTGAAATTTCTATTTTAAAAATTCTAATATTTGTAGTGATAAAACAAGTATGTATCCCCCTCCTTCAAGTTGAGATCTTGTCACATATTTGTTGTTTATCTACATTGCTTGCCTCAGGGGAGCTATTGCATCTGTGTTGCATTTGATTGAAAGCTTTTGAATTTTCTTGATAATTTATCTCAAGCACCACGTGATATCTGGGGTTGAGTGTTATAGGAATTGAGCCATGTTGCTTTTGTGAATGATAAAATGCTAATTGTTTTAGTTTATATAACTCTTTTAAACCAGAGGAGCTAGAGATACTTCACCTTTAAGTATACTAATTGCATAAAACCATCTGAAATGCCTCTCCAAGTTGCTTCATTGATGCTTGGTTATAATCCACTGTTTAGAAAGGAAATGTTCCTTCTATAGAAAACATCGAGTTCCATCATCTGTAATCAATTATACATCTTTGCTCCCTACAAGCATTTGAGTTTCTCTTTGATGAATGACTGGCAACATTAAGTTTCTCTGGGCACCCAGTAGGCATATCTTCAAAAGACGAGTAATGAAATTCAGCTAAAATAAAAGAAAAAAAATACAATGTGGAGAACATGGATGCTACTAAAAGAGGTCAAGCAGAAGTAAATGCGATCCTTCCGCCACAATTCCCCTGCCTCCCCCTTCTCTCTCCAACCCCCTGTTTTTCTTCCCTTTCACCCTCTGATCTCAAAAAAAAAAAAAAAGGAAAAAAAAAACAATGTGAAAGAAAAAAGTGATGGAAAGTTGAAAATTTCTCATCTTCCTCTTTTTCACTTTCTTGCAGTCTACTATTCACTCTCATCCCTCACCCTTCTTCTCTTGTCTACACCCTTATTTCTTCACCTCATTCTCGACCTTATTCCTCTATACAATCATCTCACTTTCCTTCCCCTTTAGTCAGCCTCTCAATCACTGGTATGTCATCTCAGTTTACCTTAAATCTTTTTTGAGAAAATCTAGTATCTACATTCTCTCTACTGTTTCTCACTTCTTACCCCTCTCTCTCTCTTCTCAGACTTCTAGCTTTATCTATTCCCTTTTCTGCTTCTTTCTATCTCTCTCTTCGACCTCTCCTCCTTTTCCTACCTCTTCTTTCTCCTTTTCTCGTTGTTCTCCTTCTCTAACTCTTGATCATGAGAATATCATGGGGAGATCTCAGCTCCCTGTCACCATCCCTTTAGTTCTACTCTACATTCATGGTGGTCACATTGGCCCATAGCCTTGGGTTTTCACAACTATCATTTGCTTACAGTGCAACGGTCCTTAGCATTACTAGTAATACTTTAGCAGGATTATTGTGCAACGGCCCTTAAGCAGAAAGCCATTAGCAGGGGTAGGCCAACTTTTCATCTTCCCAACTTCCCTCGCAATATCACCTCTATGGTGGTGTGCCTCATCATTGGGAAGGTTGGTGGGGAAACCTGCATACTGATAAGGAGTAATAACACTTTGCTCCAGTTTTCATATAGAGGACACTTCCAACTCTGCCTGGGCCGCTGCTAACTTCACCAACCATCAGTATCCTGAAGTTTGACCTTCTCAACTCCTGGTTGCTCCCTATTTACTCGAAGCCGTCAATAGTTTCTATTTGTCTTTTATGGTTTTTATTCTTTCTTCTTGTATTTTCCTTTTCTCTTCTTTTGATTGGTTGTAAGAACACCTGACTTGTGGGATGCCTTTTTTTGATAGAATTAGCTTTTGTAATTCATTATGCTATGTGTATTACTAGTCAACATATTCCTCAAAAAAAAAAAGATGACTAGGGGACTCCTTGTTAGGACATACCTACAAACATCATGTTCCTCTCTCTCTTCTTCCCTGATATCATTTATTTGTTTTATTTTTTGCGGCTACAGTCCTTATGCATTCTTTTTCATCCCCTTCACAAATCAGTCATGTATCGTGATGGTTCCAGATTCATCCTCTCTTCTTTTTTTTCTTTTTTTTTTACAAAAGTACCAATACCTTGATTCTGATTCCTTTATACTATTTTAGCATATGGCTAGGCAAGTTTATTGCTTTTAAAGGGTACAAATGAGGAAACAAAACTTGAATTTTATTTTATTTTCCAGAAATGAGACCCCAAATCGACTTAAGGAGTGGGGGATTGTAGTTTTGAATCAATCCTGGAGATCAAACTCTTAGTTGACAAACCATCTTTCTTCTCTCCCATCCTCGGGCACCTTCTTTCCTCTGGCTTGCCCAACACCTCCATGCCTTTGTCTTGACCTAATGTCTCTTTTTTTTTGCTGCTATTTTTTGGATTTGATATGCGGGCATTTTTTGTGAGGGGCCTGTTAGTCCCCATTTTGTTCTTTTTGTATAAAGATCCCGAACTGTGGGTAGCCTTTCCAAATAGCATTTACACTTATGCACTTCTTAAATCTAGTCAAATATTGCCTTAAAAAAACCAAAAGAAGAAGAAGAAAAAAAAAGACAAGAAAGAAAAGCTCTTAGTTGGCAAAGGTAATAATTTTGACCTCCTTGCCTCCTTACTCCTACAGATTTATTTATTTTTCCAAGTACTTCCCAAGGCCATCTATGTGATGGCTAATGTTCAATAAGTCGGAGACACCTAGGAGGTGAGGGGGCTGGGCCGCCTAGGCGGGCACCCAGACCCAAAAAAGCCGATGCTTTTTTTTTTTAAATTTGGGTCCCCCACACCTCATCCAATTTTATTATATATAAAATTGTCTGTTTTATTGACCCTTTAATGTATTGGCTTCTTATTAAGCCAAAAATTAAATCTAGATAAAACATTCACATCAAAATTGCAATGATATAACACAAAATCGAAAAAGATTATCACACGTGCAATTATTTAAAAAACATTAAGCAAATATTAAACTAACTAATAAAATAATTATGCTTTATGAATCAGACATCGAGAAAACACATTATACATACAATTATTTAATAAGAAATTAAGAATTAAGCAATTATTAAACTAACTAATAAAATAATAATCCAAATAGACAATAACATCAAATATATATCACAAAAAAATACGAATAGCAAAAAATAAAATCATTAGACAATAGACATTAAGGGAAAAAAATACATAACGTAACAAAAACTATTGAAATATACCAGCCTTCTTGAAATGGACTCGATTTCGGACCAAACCGAAATGTTTGGGATCCCAAATCTCCTCTTTTACAACCCCTATAAGCTTAAAAAAGATTGGGGTTGAATATCCTTTAATATCGTGACTACTCGAGGATTTCGAAAAAAATTTCAATCTCTCTAAAATTCTTGAAATCTAGTTTCTTACAACTTGTTTCTCACTCTAAAGTTAACTAAAATTGTTTCTGGGGGCAAGAATGCCCCCCCAAACCCTTACCCCCCTTTTAAGGGGGTAAAATGACTTTTTTTTGCCCCCTTCCGAAATTTTTTTTCTGCCATACTCCTGCAAGCTGCCTAGGCGGGTGCCTTTTACCACCTTTTCGGCCACCTAATCGGCCACCCGACCGCCTAGGTGGGCGCCTAGTTCTGGCGCCTAACAGTGACCGACTTAAGAACACCTATGCATTTTCTCCAGAAAGCCGCCTAGGTAGTCAGGCGGCCGACTTTTTGAACATTGGTGATGGCAAAGTAATTTGCATGTTCCTGTCTGTCTCATGGGTGGTTGGCTGCCACTCTGATCCCATTGGGTGTGCTGCTCCTTGTCGCCCTGCCTTTGGTCATTAGGACACAGACTTCATTCCGGCAGAATGTGGCATGATGGTATCATATTCTGAAGTATTATACGAAAAGCTATTATATGAATAACTAGATTATATGACTACACTATGGTGCCTAAAAGGTTGAAGCTATCATATGAATCTGCTGTGTCTAATGGTGGCTTCTCTGGATATGTACATGTTTGTTTTTTTTTTGGGAAGGTTATATTTACATGTATTGAAACTTAGATAGATTCTCTATCATTGTTAATGATTGGTCTTTGATTGCAAAAAAGATGGACAGGATATGCAGGAGGAACTGCAAAAGAGAAATCTTAGGGAGGAGCTGGAAGAGCGTGAGAGGAGGCATTTTTCTTCAAAGGATAAGGCCTATGCTGGTAGTAACACTTTTTGAGCAGCATCCTCACAATATTTCGCCTTACGACTTCTTCTTTTTGAGTATGAAATATATATGGCTCTGGTAGTTCTGTCATACTTTGATAAATAAATCCTATTGTGTAAAAATAATCCTATTCAGCTATGGCATCTAGAGCTCATGTCTGATATTTATATGCCCTTTTGTGAGTTTTTGTTCTGTTTGGAGCTTAAATATATATGGGCTTAATTGCAGAAGATAGAGATCGCAGAAAAGGAGGAAGTGGAGGCCACCTACTATTGGAAGGTGAGATTTTTTTTTTTCGTTTTTCTTCTAAGTATTTGTTGTGGGTAGTTGGCAGTGGGCTTAGGACTCCTGACAATATTCTGGAGATTCACCACTCTAACCAAGAGCCTGCTTGCAATTACTTATTGATGGTTCATTGTCAAGATAACTGCAATCTTACACCTTTTGTTTGTCAAAATTTCATATACAGGGAGAAGAGATGCTGAGGATAGGCTTGTTCCACGCAATGTAGATGCTGATGATTCTGATGTAGATGTCAAAAGTGAAGATGAAGAGTACTCTTCTTCCACTTAATATTATATGCGTATATTTGTGTTACAGTGCTGTTAATTTGGTTGATCTGCATTGACTTTTAACATATGGGATCATTTGGTAGAAAGGAAAAATCGGTCGTATTGATTGTGTACTAATTTGGTGACCATTCCGAGAAGTATTTTTATCTAGTAGGGTTTTCAACAAGCTGGTCTAAGAAGGTGATGACCTTAAACTTTCCCTTAACCCATCCTATACCCGGGTAAAGGGGTAGGGTTATGTTAGGTAGGCATCAAACGTAAAATTTTGCCAAAACCCATCATGAATCAAGGGTTTTCAACAAGCCAAGCAAGCTAGGTCTCGAGCTGGTTTGGCTTGGCTCTGGTCATGCTTGAACATGTAGTCCTCTCAACGAGGCAAGCCATGTGAGTCAACTAGCTCAGTCATTAGACAAGCCAACCTCAGCTTGGCCTCTGCTTGAGCTTGTTCAATCAATATTGCAAATACTAAATTGCTTAGGATGTATGTGTCGATGTCATCATCATGCAATAATATAGAGAGTGCCTTGATCTAAATAGTTGGAAAATGGCCTAACCGCCCCCCCCCCCCCCCCCCCTCCCTCTCTCAAAAGTCACTCCTAACCCTCAAGGCCGTGGAAAACCTTAGTACATACAATATGGTCCAAAGAAAAAACCCAATCCCTCTCTCCTGTGAGCCTCTCTCCCTCTTTCTTCACCATTCATCGTGAGCCCCTTCCTCTCCTGTTCTTACTCATCATAATCCCCATTCACTGTGAGCCTCACTCTCTTCATCCTGATCCCCTCCCCTTTCCCTTTTCATTCTCACTTTTTGCATTGTGAAACTCCCTTAAACTATTGTTGCTCTCTCCCTCTCTCTCTCCCCAAAACCCTCTCTATTTCCTCTTATCTCCCCTCTCCGCCTAAATCACTCCTAAACGGCTGGACTAGTGATTTTTCTCATAAATACAGGTCCGTTATTTCTACAAAGAAAACTAGTTATTTTGACTCATAAATCTCTTAAGAAAAGAATTACCCAAAAAACCTACAAAAAGCCATTCAGAAATCCCTAACTCAATTTGGAGAACCATGAAAACTGTAGAACCAGAAAACTTAAGATACGAAGTCGGAAACCATAAAAAATTGACATGAAGAATTGCATATTGGAGTTTTAAATTGGAAAACCAGTTTATTTGAAGAATCAACAAAGATCATAGAAAAAATTTGCAGATTTAGAGATTCACAGCAAAAACCTAGTTTGCCTTGTGGATTGTAGCTGGAAAAGCTATTCCAAGAGATTTTTTTTTTTTTGAGTGTTAAGCTATTCGAAGAGATGTTGAATATTTTAAATAATTTCAGTATTGTTTTATTGGTTTTCTCTGTAGAAAACCTTACTTTACTGGTTTTTGGATCTTGGAGGTAATGAAGTGCGTTTTGGGCAGCTTTACGGTGAAATTCTGTCAAAATACAATCGAGTGGGTTCTTGGGAACGTTCGAGGTGATTTTCTATCAAAATTGGAGAAAATGGGGGAGTTGCAGTGAGGTGGGTTTTGAGGAACTTAGCCTGAACTTCCATCACAATTTCGTATTCTTTTCAGCGGAATGGCGGAAATGCAATGAAGCTGCTTTTTGGGGAGTATAGAGTTAGGCTTAAAAAATCGGTACCTAGTGATTGGACATTGGAGTATATAGTTAGACATCATGACAGGAACTCTTGTACTCACACTCGCATTTGGTCTATAAACCATGTAGTCTTGAACCTAATGTACACACGCTTTGAGATTCATAAACGGTTGGGTTTCCTATCCAAACCCTGCTAGTATAGCCACAAGCAAAAAAGTAATAAAGCTTCACTTCATAAGTATTATTAGCTGTTCTTACTAACTCCTCTGTCATAATATATTTAGGTGACTTGTAATGTTAGTAATGCACTTATAAGAAAAAAGAAAAAAGAACGAATGGGGGATTTTAAGGGGGAATGGGGTCGAGACGCATCCCATCCCAGCACCTGTTTGGTCCCGACCGAATCAGCATCCGAAATGGCGACCCTGATTTGAAAATTGCCATGTTTTAAAAAACACACACACACTGATATATATATATATATATATATTAATGCATGTCTTATAGAATAATATGGATGGTGTAGGAGCTTTTTTTTGGCATATCTTGTAGAGTAATATGACTGGTTAGGGACCGATCTAACTCTTGGGACAATTTTGGTCTGGGGACAATTGTGGATTATTGTCTAACTTTAGATAATTACTCTGTTTACTTACAAAAAGCAGAACGTATTTAGATATTTCTTTATTTTCCTTGTATTTGACATCCCAAGATTCATCATGTTTTCATTACTTCTCAGCAGTACCATATACATGCATGTGTGCATGCTTGAGTATTTTGTCTTGCAAGTTTTTATTGTTATGCTGAAGTATCCAATTTTATGACATCTTTAGTGATGATGAGGATGATGATGAGGACGATACAGAGGCTTTGTTGGCAGAACTTGAACGAATAAAGAAAGAAAGAGCTGAAGAGAAATTACGGAAGGTATGTTTGTGATGCAGCCCAGAATACTGCTCGAGTATCTAGATAAGAGAAACAAACTTAAAGTTTACAAGAGGAACTGTAGAAGGACAAAATAGCTATTGAGTCTATCCTCGTATGTCTTTTATTTTTTTCTTGAGTCATTTTATTTACTTTGGGGCATAAGTAGTAATTTTTAGAGTCTTTTATGTCGTTTTATTCACTTAAATTATTTTATAATAAATGGCCATGATCAGGGTAGATGGATGGCCAGCATTAGGTCTTGTTTGGGGTTTATCTTGTATAAAGGACGTACTCAAGCATAATGATGGACCATGTTATAGACTTTATTCAAAACGCTAGAGTAACAAGTACTCCTTTATCTCTAGTTTTTGCATCTTTCCCTAATTTTGGATCTTCCTTATCTTCTTCTTTGTTAAACCCTACCTCCAAACTACTAAGTCTGCGCCAGGTTGGTATCAAAGCCCGACGATCAGTAGGGACGGTATTGTAGCATGGTATTGTAAGCTCGATTTTTGTGCCCTAGATCAACAGACAACAATCATGCAGAGGAAAAGGAGGAAAAGCGACAACATTAGAAGCATTTGATGGTAGTTTGAGATCTAAGGAGATTGGTTGAAACTCTAGCTCTGCATGTAGCACGGATGGAAGCCCCGTCTCAAGAGGATGAGATCGAGGCAGATGAGTCGGTGACCAAGTTGGTGTCATACGGGTTAGATTCATGGTGTGATCCTAGTTAAGAGTTTGGTGCATAATGTCATCGACCTAAACTCGAAATTGATAATCATTTGAGTAGCTATTATGGAACTCTATCTGAGGACAACCATGGAGAAACTTTGTTCTCACCAAAAGGTTCTCAAGATCAGCATGTTGTGGACTGGGACTTAGCACCAGTCTTTGGCAATTATCTAGATAAAGATTTAGGTATTGAGAAAGAAGTGGGTGATCATAGCTTTAATTGTGATCCAATCTATAAAGAGGATCGAGAAGAAGATCCTACAATTGGAGATGATTTTGTGGATACGCTTATTTTCAATAGAGAACAGGGTGGATGTCAAGGAGTTGTTCCCAAAATATTGGAGTTAACGGGTTTCTTAGTCCTCGTAGAAAGTAGCGAGTAGAATGGTGTTGATGAAGGTAAAGATGACGATGTTCTTCTTGGAGTTTAACCTAAATATGGAGTATCATGTGAGGTGCAACCTGGTGATATTTGCCTATGAGAGTTTTGCTGATGAGTCCAATATAGAAGGTGGCCATCAAATGGTTGCTTATGTGATTCTTGACGTTGGAGTTCAACTTCAACCATTATTTTGTCTTGAGTGGAGAACCTCTATGTCTAATCAGTATGTGTGAATTCAAGAAAATGGCAGGGTTAATGCATCATTAATCTTCAGCCGTTTCAAAATTCATGGAAGAGTATTCCCCGATGTGTTCAGGACCATGTATGTTGTGCTTATGTACTCTCAAGTATTGCAATTCCCAGTGGGCCTAAACGGTGGTTAATCCAATGTCTATGAGTGTAGTAAAATGACATGCCTTGAGCTCAAGTCTCGTCAAGGTAAAATCATTCAAAGTTTTGAAGAAGATCAATGACAACGCTTATCAGTTAAAGCTACCAAGCCATATTTGCACCTCCGATGTTTTTAATGTCAAGTATCTCATTCCATGTTGTGGTTATACCTCTGTCAATAAGCCGCAGAATTCGATTGATAATCCAAGAAAATGGAGAGAGTGATGAAGATGTTGTGCATAGAATTAGAGCTGGGTGGGCGAAGTGGAGATGTGCAACTGGAATTTTCTGTAATCTCCGCATACCAATGAAGCTGAAAGGTAAGTTTTATAGGACAGCTGTGAGACCAGCTTTGCTTTATGGGACAAATGTTGGGTAGACAAAAAACAATGTACTTATAAAATGAGTATAGCGGAGATGAGGATGTTGAGATAAATGTGTGGCAAGACAAGAAGGGATAGAATCCGAAGTGAATTCATTCGGGAAAGTTTAGGTGTGGCACCAATAGGCGATAAGATGTGAGAGTTAGATAGATTGACTATGTGTGGTGTCAACCCAATACGACACATGTTAGGAGGTGCGAATTAGGTCAAGTGGAAGGATTGAACAGGGAAAGGTATAGGCCCAAAAGGACATGGTGGGAAGTAGTCCAAAAAGATATGGAGACTTATGGCCTCATTGAGGGTATAACTTTAAATAGAACATAATGGAGGACCAAGATTCATGTATCTGACCCCAATTAATTGGGAAAATGCTATGATAATGATGATGAATCTTTTACAATAAATGGCCATGATTAGAGTGGATAGATGGCTAGGATGAAGATTTTCTTATGTAAAGCATATGCTCAAGCGTAATGATGGATCATGTTATAGATTTTATTCAAAACCCTAGAGCAACAAGTGCTCCTTCTTTATCTCTATTTTTTGCATCGTTCTCTAATTTTGGATCATAGTTACCGGAATCTCTCCACTGACCTCGCGCTTCCGGTTCCAAAGCCCAATTCCGCGTTTTCGTTAAGGAATCTCCACGAAAACCATGTTTTGGAACCAAGGAAACTCAATTCCGTAATTTCGGAATCTCGATTCGACACATCATTAGAAACCATTTTTCGGAATTAGAGAAACTTGATTTTTTAATTTCGGAAGGTCGATACAACACATCTTTAGAAACCATTTATCAGAACCAAGGAAACTCGATTTCTTCATTGCGGAATCTCGATTCAACGCATCTTTAGAAATGTGAACGCATTAATTGTGGGTAGACATTCCTAAATATATTGATTATGGATTCCAGCGATGATTAAATCTTGATTCGACGACAATTGGAGTAGAAATCTTCCTTCCAATGCTTCTAGTGGTTGCAAGGTTTCATTATTTTACTTTTGCCACCCTGGATGACTTTGACTTTAAATTTAAAATATAATTGGTAATTACAACACATACAATTAAAAGTAATACCATGGCATAGACATAATCCTATTTTGTCTTTATAATAATAAAGTCAAAATCACAAATTTAGAAACACTTGTCTTTTGTATATAATGATTGTAAGTTTAATAGTCACAAGTTCAATAGTCAACACAATCACTTTAAAACTTAGGAAACCTTCTAATAAGAGACATCCAATATAGGTTCTAAAGTTGATGAGGCTCAAGATGTGCTTCTGGCTTCCTTCTCCATAAAAATGAAATCTCAATTCCTAGTAGGGGTTGTCAAACGCATTCTATAGTCCATATTATTATAAATATTGATATCATATTGGTATGGATATCTTATCCATATACTTCAGAAACTTCATTCCATATATGTTAGAATCACGATTTGAAACAACAGCATATCTATGTTCCACATATGTCAAAAACTGGATTCCATAGATGTCGAAAATTCGATCTCGCATATTAATGAATCTTGACTCTTGGCGTGTCGATTCCAAGCGGATGGGAATCTCAATTCTTAGGAGGACAGAATCTCAATTCCATATGTGGATGAAACTTGGGTCTATTTCGATCGAAGCACGATTCTCAAAAACTAGGAATCTTGTTCCTAGCGAGTCCTATTGTATGGATAACGATTCCTAAGACAATAATCTTCTAGCCGGCCGCGATTCTGGTTCCTAAAACGATTCAGGTTCCCAGGCGTTTTCAACAACTTTATTTTGGATCTTCCTTATCATTTTTCTTTGCTAAACCCTAGCTCCAAGCTAGTAGGTTTGCTCTAGTTTGGCTAATCTTTTGACCACTTTAGATCCATTTTTTGTTTGTGTATGGTAATATTTTTCAAATTTTCCTCGGCTTTCTTTTATAAATGCTTTTGGTTGCACCCAGTTACTGATGATATGTGTCCACGATGATTAAGGTGGTCTAATGCGTTCTTTATGTCGCATTGCAAGTTCAGAGATCTCTAGGTTATGCATATTTTATTGTCTACCTTTGCCATATTGTGAATAGTGTGATATATGTGATTGTCGTTGGGCTACCTTCGTTTGACTTATTTCCATGTTTAAGTTTTCATAGGGTATGATTTGTTCTAGCAACATGGGGCCTGCATAGTTCCATCATTTACATTTATAATATGTACATAAAAGATAAGACACATACGTCACTCTCTGCATACTGGATATGCATACATTTGCAAGTGCTGTTGTGTTGTTGTGATTGTGTTTAACAATGCAGCACAGGTAGTGTTGTGCCTGCATATACGATTCTTGCATATGATCCCACACTTGTGGCTTCCCCTTACTTTATATATACACAATCGCTGCTGTGTTGTTGTGATTGTGGTTGACAATGCATCACAGGTAGAGTTGTGTTGCATATACGATTCTTGCATAGGATCCCACACCTGTGGCTTCCCCTTACTTTCTAGATACACAATCAGGAGCATGTGCGTGAGTATAAATTTTAGTGTGTTGCTCCTGTAACACAATGGTGTGAATGTTATCTATGGCTCTGTTTTTGAGTAAAGTTCACTGTATTTCAAAACCCAAAAGGAACATACAAAACTTATGGAGCCCCTGCAGGGACTCACAGTATAAGCCCACTCGATGTACCAAAAATTACAAGGCATATGGTAAGAGGCAGGGAGGGGGAAAGTTAACTAGAGGCCCCCCCGCCTTGGCCAACTTATCGGCGTCAAAATTGTCTTCTCTATACACATGTTACCAGGTAACTGAGAGGTCTCTGGTGATGAACAAAATTTCTTCGAAGATGTCGTCAAGGCACCACGGCCAGGCTATGAGGTCAGGGCCTAAGGAGGAATCATACTTGCGAAGGCCCTCCAAGAGGGCAGAGGCCTCTGCAAGAGTCGAGTCAGCTATTCCAATAGCCCTAGAGAAGCTCATCAAGATGCGCCCAGTTCCATCATGCAGTAGCCCCCCTATGCCTAAGGGTCCCGGATTGCCAAGAGAGCAACCGTCAAAGTTAAGTTTAAGAGTCCCCCTTTCCGGAGGTCTCCACAGGGAGGACCTCGTAACTCTAGGAGGGTCGAAACACAAAAGGTTTGACCAGTTATTGTGGAAATCAGTGAAGGACAAGGTCTTAAACAGGTCACGGTTTGTGGCCCAGACAGCAACGAGGTTCCTAACTTTCTCAGCCAAATGCTCGACCATGGCCCTCTCCTTCCTAAAAATCCTGTGATTTCTTTCAATCCAAAGAACCCAAGCCGTGGCAGCAATCGTAGCTTTCCACAACAGTCTCCCTGGCCTTGGGCCAAGGTGCTGTGTGGTAGGCTTGGAATAAATGGGCGATAGAACTCGGGGTAACCCAAGTCCAATTGAACCAGGACAGAATGTTACTCCAAAGTGCCCGAGAAAAGCCACAATGTAGAAAGAGGTGTTCATTAGACTCTTACTTTCTCCATACACATAGCACATCTATTGGGGGTTTGGACTCCTTTTCTCTGCAGTTGGTCAACTGTTAACACTCTCCCATGAATTGCAATTCAGCAGAATACCTGGATCCTAGGAGGTATGAAGGGGTTCCATGCTCTTGATGCACGAAAGAAGGAAGAGACTGAGAATACACCTATGGGAGAGGTGGCCCAGATAATCCTGTCAACTCAGATAATCCTGTCAACTCCAGAGTGCATGAGGTATACATATTGAATAGTATCAGCCATGGAACTGAATTCCTCGAGCTCAACGGCCTCCAAGATCTCAAACTTCCGACAACACTAAAATTGTCAGCTACCGAGGAACCAGCATCACAGGCTAAACGGAAAAGGTTGGGGAGTGTTACCTACCCATACATTGGTCCAAAATTTGACTCTATTCCCTTCCCTTGATCGGAACCGAATATTTTGGATGAACAGTTCACGGCTTCGAAGCACAGACCTCCAGAAGCCGGAGATGTTGCTGTTGTTCTTGCACTCAGGGATCCAATGGTCAACCCGCGAGCAGTATTTAAACTTGACAATCTCCCTCCATAAGTCTTCTGGTTGGGTGGCATACGTCCACCACCATTTGGCTAGAAGGGCCATGTTATGTTCTCTAAGACTTGCCTCAACGAAGCCCTTTGGTGTTCCATTAATGAGAATTGAGAAGGTACGATTGGAATTGCGTCCTTGGATCCAACTTCTCCATTTAGAGCCAAACGCCATTCTCCTCAAAGTCTCGTCTAGAAGTGACCAATCAACATGTTCATGGGATTTTTCCCAATCAAGTTTGACAGCCAAGCCGGGGATCTTAGAAGATTAGTGAGAATGGATGCATTCATGCGCTACAAGTGCCCCATCTAGGATCTGGCGTCCCTTGACAAAGGCCCCTTGGGATGGGGAGATGATCGAAGAGAGAGCAACCCTCAATCTCGAAGCAAGAACTATAGACAAAAGTTTGTAGGAACTGTTGATCAAACTAATAGATCTAAAATCCTTCAATATGTTGGCCCCTTCAATTTTAGGTGCAAGTGCAATAAACGTGGCATTCATGGCTTTGCCAGTCACTCCGCGAGCGTGGAATTCCGCAAAGAATTCGAGAACGTCGAGGCGAATAACTTCCGAGAACTGTTTGAAGAAAGCTATGGGAAAACAATTGGAAATATCACTTCTCTGGGAACTATGCAGGCCTACTCACATCTTTTTTTTGGTTGTCCTTTTTATTATAGAAAAATGGTTTGATATACCCAACTTTTTGGCTCACCTGAGGTTCCCCACCCCTTAATTTTACTTTGGATGTGTAAAGCCCCCCACCTGTTGGGATGGAGTGTTTGGATCTGTAAAGCCCCCCACCTGTGGGATGGGGTGGGGAATGCGAGTCCTTTGACCTACTGTAATAATAGTTAACCTTTCTCAGGGAAAAAGACAAAAATGGAAATTTTGTAATAATAGTTAACCTTTCTCAGGGAAAAAGATAAAAATGGAAATATCACAGAATGTTGCTGCCAACAGAATTTGAAATCAAAACAGAATTAAAAGTAGCACAATACGAAAAGTTTTTAAGTCGGGATGAATAATGGCTTTCTCTTGTTTGAAAAATAAAAACCCAAATATGGGTTCTTGTAACAAGGCTAATGAGAAAACAATATGACATACAATATTGCTTACTTGTTTACCATTCCCTACCATATGGTGGGCACAAGTATTTAAGATATTTAAAGACCTTGTCCGAATGTCAAATGTTTTTCAACCAGGTACACTTCATCTAACTAGTCAATGATACAACGAAGTCTATCAGTAAAAGACAATGTTGTTACCAATATTAATTGTCTTAAGCAATGCTCGAATGCCCCATGTAAGCGATGTATACTAACCAGTAACAAATGCCCTTTAGCCTTAAGCAGAATGATTCATTCTAAACATAAAAAATGAAGCAAAATGCCGACATATTAAGAATAATTTGCACTAACTAATAAAGTCATTAATGCTACAAATTTGTAAAGAATAGGCAATTAAACCACAGCCACACCGTATGCAGAAAATGGGGATCTTTATTTTTTCTGAATGAAGTGGGGACCAATTTTCATGTGCCGGTAAGTAAGTTTTGTCAGACTTTTTTTTCTTTAACATTCCCCATAATGGTTGTCAAGTCTGGAAGCTATTTTCAAACTCCTTTATTTTCATTAGAACCAATTTTGCTAGATTGAGATATTCATATTATCACAGTGCCAAGTACACCATCGAACATAGAAACATTTATGACAGACCCAAGAAACAAATAAATTGGTAAATGATTCTTCCAGAGAGTCCTTTTCTAAAAATTAAGCTTCCAAATGGAATAATAGAATTAGTTTCATCATGGGGATGACTGGATCTAACCTAATCAAGCTCCTGCTTTAGTCCATGAGAGAGCTGAAGTAATGCTTCCTGAATCAGGGTCTGAGTTAAACTTCCATAATGCAATAATAGAATTAGTTTCATCATGGGGATGGCTAGATCTAACCCAATCAAGCCCCTGCTTTAGTAAATGAGAGAGCTAAAGCAATGCTTCCCGAATCAGGGTCTGAGTGAGAACCTTTGGAAGCCCCATAACACTGTCTGTCGTTCCTACCTGCAAAAAAGGGACCCAAAAACAAGAAATAAAAAAAGAAAACACAGCAACAACGACAAACCATCCATGTCAGTTAATGTAGTGAGAAGATGGAAATCATTAAGACGTGCGATGGGATGACCGACCATTGCTTCCACCAAGGGTGAGGTCAACGGATGTTCCACGATTAAACCACCAGCAACATTGAGTACCTTTCCCTCCTCAATCTATTCAACAAACACCCCATTGTTAATTAAGGGAAGTAGACATAAGCCTGACAGGAGAAGAAAGAGGTAATGATGAGGCTTCACATTTACCAGGCTCTCAATTATCTCATCTGGTATATCATGAAAATAAATCTGCAAAAGAAATAAAAAATAAAAAATTGGGTTTGCAGCAGAACTGTTGATTGTGAGAAATGGAAACAAGTGTACCATTATATATGCCGGTTTAAGAAGGCAAATCCTAAATACAATATCAGGGACCCAATGCCACGGCCTAGTGCTATGGAGCACTTAACACCTGTATTTTGGGTCTTCCCCAAGGAAAATAGTTACCTCAGCTTTGTCCACCTCTCCCTTTCGGATACCAGTTTTTAGGTTAGTAACAAGTACAGAGCCTATAGTTGCTGCATGCCCCTTGGAATAGCCTGTGACCAATACCACTAACATTTTTATGCACAAAAATATGCATATCCCATAAAACCTCACGTAATATGTGTGGGTATGTGTGTGTGAAAGAGAGAGAGAGAGATATAAATACCTTTAATGAACGCTCGAGCTTCCTCCTTACTCAAAGGCTTCTCCCTAATTACTCCTTCATGGACGACCACCTTCAATATTTTAAAATTGAGTTACCTAAAGGGCTCCAATCATAATGAACAAGTGATTGAACCCTATCTTTAGCAAACAGATGGATAATAAGGAACATAGCTATACTCATCTTTTCTTTCTTACGAAACTAGTTGTCATTCATATATGAGCTGTAACAAACAAATGAGGAGAACAGAAACAGTTGCAAATAAGTCAGTAGGCAAAAAGCACAAGAAGGCCTGATAAATAGATAAGCAATGTAGCTTTCACACTAGGGAGTTCACTCAGGTAGAGGTTTATGTTTGCCAATGCTAGTTGGATTAAATTTTCTTGGTTTTATGAGTAATCCATTCTTGTGTTACGACAAGTGACAAGTGTGGTAGAACCAAGCGGCAACACCTGCCTTTCCCAATTTCAGGTTTGTAGTTAGTAGAAGCACCACTACTGATGCTAGGATCATTGTTTAGCATTAGCTTTTACTTCAAGGGAAAAGCTTTTCCCTTTGGGTAGGTTAGCAGTGGGATTTGACCTTGGGATATTGTACTGCAGTCTGCAAATGCCAAAACCACCAAGCCAAGGCCTTAAACCACCATTGCAAAGGTAACATTACACGTGTGAGAGTTTTCCTAAATGGCAATCCTTTGGTTGAGGCTGTGATATCTTGTGGGCAGCTTTTTCCCACTCAGAGGGAGCAATATCTTGTAACGACAGCCAGGCTATTTTGTATAAGAGAGTGAGAAAAAATTCCATGGCTGAAGAAAGGCATGACGGCAAGCAAAACATTGTATCATTTCCAAAAATTGGTACACAAACAATTTTAATAAGATAACAGAAATGAATGTTCTAGGTTGAGGTGCGAGAAGAAATTTGAGATGAGAACATGAGGATATAATTCGAGAACCAATTATATATTCACATTCTCATCTCAAATTTATCAAGAAAATGGGCTTATGATTGGACAACAAGGCAGTTACTTTCCAAATCTTCCTCCTGAAGATGCAATGGTCATTCCTTGAGCTTCTTGACATGGGGAACTCATAAGATAATGATCGTGCTGAGAATGGAAATTCCCTCATTAGGTTGATCGTAAATAACACAGAACATAACTAGGGGAAGCCTACTTATTAAGGAGACAACCCACCCCTCATGAGGGACAAGGAGAGAATTCCAAAGAGCTTACCTATGAGAGGGGGCCCAGGTGATGGATTTGCAGTGAGCCCACTATCTTAGACTCCTAGCCTAGGATCGTTTTGAGTTCGAAGGAGGGAGGGATTGTTTGGATTGCCTTTTCAAGGGATCTAGAGTCTGTAAATCAGTTTTCTCTTAAGCATTCTCAACTCTGTATTTGTCTCAACTCGAATAGGTCACATGCACACAGTATTTTGATTGGTTATGTTGATATCTACTCCTAGTCTGGGTCTTGCCAATGAGAGAAGTTCAACATTCAAAGTATCATTTTCCCCCTTTAACATGGATTTTAGGCTAACTGGCGGTGATTGAAAACACCCCGTGGGTAATAATTACCTTCAGCACCGTGGGTTCCAATTCCAGGGTACATGATTGCATAATATGTCAGAGGATTGAAGACACCATAGCTGATTTAATTATGTTTTGGCCATTCAACAGGAGTAGGCTTATCCCGATTTCAGGAGGTTGCCAATGGGCTTCTGATGGGACCCTGACAAGGCAAGATGTTGCACGCCACATGTCCTTTAGTCATCTCTAAAGGTATACCATCAGTAGAATGTAGAAGGATTTGAGAAACTTTGGTCTCTTGGGTGATAAGCCTCCACCAGTTCAAGTGAAATAGAGCCTGACATCTTTCTCAAGACTGGTAGATACAGCTATGACATTATTTCTTGGTATTTCTACAAACATTTCTAAAGTCTCAGAAACAGATATGGCATTTATTTCCCAGTATACTTCAAAAAAATATATATATATTTCCCAGTATCTGTGCGTAAAAGGTATTTATTTAATTTGCATAAATAACCAAAGCTCATATTGGTGGTTTATTACATATTATATTGTGTATAACCCACTTGAGAGGGCTTTGAGCTATCTAATGGAATACTACATTTCTCCCTATCCTTAAGGTTTGCCCTTGTTTTCTCCCTTTTTCACCTTTACCTCATACCTATGGACCTGAGGCAGGACTAATTGAAGCTAAAGTCACGATACAAGCACAACAACACAGGGGGCAGAGAGGAGACATACTTTAAAGGTGCAATATGGAGCTATTAGTAAAATACCAAACTGATTCCTGCAAATTTACTTATAATTGAAATCGAAAATTTCTTCTCAATAGCGAGATGAAATTAACGAAATTCCAGTGGGAGAACTGGAAATAAAAATTAGACTACACTTAATCATCTTGACAATCTTTGCACATGTGTCCAAAAATTTCATTTCCCAGGTTAAGGAAACATCTCCAAGACTTGTCAGAAACACCTATAGCATGTGGAATCCCTCTGAGGATTCATAATCCAATGTAGTCACCTCCAATGAAATAAATCACCAGAGTAGTTTGCCTGCCCACATAATCTCAAAAGTTCATGAGCCCTACAAGGCTGGATATTAAAGGTGCCTGGTGCCTTAAAATAACAAAATTTTCATGAAAGAAGATCCATTATTCATTTAATGGTAAAAAAAAAAAACAACATGAAAAACGTCAGGACTTTACCTGGTCAGCAGTTATTAACAGCGTTGGTTCAGCACTTGGTTCCTTGTAGACACTCAAGTCAAGCCTGGATATTATGGCATCTGCCTATGAAGAAATCAAGATTAAATTGGTGAGAAACCCAACATTCATGACCATAACCAAAACCTAAATTGTTTACAGATACACGTGAAGAAGAAAATTGACATATATTTACCATCTGCATTTGTATAAAGGATTAGAAAGTAGACATATATGTACCATCTAAATTGTTTTGATCTTTAAGGAATGCAACTGTTATCATTTGTAAAATGAAGCTGCACATGTTCACTTATAAAGAAGAAACACGAGAACTTAGGTTTTGACCGAATGAAAGAGACTAAGTAAAAGAAGTAATATCCGGAAGGCAGAAACCACAAACTGAGGAGGAAAACAAGACGATAATATATTCAACTGGTACCCACTACAAGGCATCAATAACCACCCTTTAGACCGATAAATTCAAAAATAGATGAATGATATTGCATGTTCAGGCCATGTTCAGAAGTCATAATAAATAAATAAAGCTAGCTAACCTTTGCCTCAGCCAGTGCCATGACCAAGTCCTCGGGATTCTCGATGCGAATGCTTTTCTCATCTATATCTGCACTCTAACAAGTATTTAATGAAAGATTAAATTGTCACACAACTGGGGAATTGATGAATAAAGAGAATCAAATAAAAGGGAGTGAGGGAGGGAGGAGCTGCGAACCATGACTGTGAAGGCATAACCCATTTCAGATAGAATGTTTCGCCGAGCTATTGATGATGAACCCAGGATAATCTGCTGGTTTGTTACACATCATATCATGCCAAAGCAACCAATCTACCATTAACCAACTGCTATACAAATAAATTCATGACATGCCATGCTTTAGACAGAGAGACAGAAGTGCTAACCTTGAAGGCAGAGTTGAGTGGCTGCATTTTCACTCTGATAGTTTTTTGCTTCTTCCTCCTCTACCCAACCTCTACACGGCGCCCTTTTTATGTCAGGAAGGGGTCCAACTCATATGTACATATGCGACCCCTCACTAGAATCCAGCTCTTGATCCAAATTTTTTTAGGGATTTATGATCTAGGCTAAATTGATTATGAATATGGAAAAAACTAAAACTTTTTAAATTAAAAATAAAAAAATTGCGTAAATATCTATTTGAGTATCCGTTATTACTTGTTTATTTTTTGGACTTTATAACTTAAAAAAAAAAAAAAACGAAACTACTTCTTTTTTGTTTTTTCAAAAACCCAAATCTCCAATCAATAACACAAGAAAACCCATAAAAAAACCTACACAAAATGACGATTAAAGGAAGATAAACAATTGAATCGTGAAATTGTACCTGGAATTGCAGAGGGGGAGGAATTGCAGGCAACCTTTGATCGATGGACGCATCGATCACAGGCCATCACAGAAGAGAGATATAGTAGGGAATGTAACGATGAAGAATGCCATGCTTTCTTCGATTTGAAGGTTCCACAAACTACAAATGTGAGGAGAATGAAAATGGGGAGGTTTTATATGCAATTAGTGTGGATTTCTGTTGTCAATATGCATAGAAGGGGAAAGAAAGCAGGCATTGAATTTTTCAAAAAATTAAAGTTTTTGGAAAACATAAATTTTAAAGTTTTCTCCTTCATTAAAAAAAAAAAAGGGATATTATATATTTTAGTTTTTCAAAATAGAAATTGAACGTCATTTCGGTTTTTAGAAAGACGAAAATTAGTAGTTTTATTTTTTTTTTTTAAAAAAGTTATTATAAAATCCAAAAAACAGACACATGAGTAATAATATAAAATATTCGATATTGTAGTATTAACGGATACTAGAACATATATTTGCATAATTTTCTCTTAAAAATATGTACTTTTTAAAGAATTTTTTGTCAACGTCTCGTATCTCATATCTTGGTCCAGTATTCTTTACACCACCTCGAGGTTCATGGGTCAATGGACTCTTGCATCCAGTGACTCGTATAAAACTTTCACTTCTTGGTCCAGTATTCTTTACACAACGTCCATCGTTAAAATGGAGGTCCATGGGTCAATGGCCTAGCCAGTAACTCATAGAAAACTATGGGTCAATGAGTCCTTTTTTACTCATAAAACTGTCCCTTCTTCATAGTTATAAAACTCAATTTTAAAAAAAACAATAAATTGAGCAATTCTATAAATATTTTAAAAATTAGATAATTTGATTAGAAGATATATTATTTTAAAAACTTGAAATGCTTCTTTCTTCGCTCATAGAGATGATAAATTGGAGAGTTCTCCTGACCACATTTTTCTAGAGTTACTTACATTATACTATAACGTTGCAGCCCTATATATTTTTTTTCATGTATAGATCGATATCTTTTTGCTCTGCAAAATCATGGGTATTTGGGCCTTGACTTTTCTAGAATACCAAAAGGGCCACTTTCGGCCCAAAGGCAAGAAGTTCCAAAATTAATTATTCAATAACTGAGTTTCCACCATTTTTCATTATTAAGAGCATCTTGCCATTTTTCATCTGAATTTTAAAATTGTTAATTTGTTTTGCAAATGTAGTAAATTTAGTCATCTAGAATATTGCCAAACCATTTGATAAGGTTACATAATGGATAATGTGCTAAGTACCCTTGTACTAACCTGTTGAGATGTATAGTTGTTCATACCATAAATAAAGGCAAAAATGCTAAGCACCCATGTACTAACCTGCTGAGATATATGGTTATTAAGACCATAAATAGAGGCAAAATCAATGCCTGACTGCTTAGATGTATGGTTATTGAGACCATAAATGAAGGCAAAAATTAATGCCATTAGAATTTTAGTGGAAGCAATTTCTTTTTTTGACTATTATTTTTTGGCGATTTAAAATTTTAAATCATGACACCGTTAATACATTAATATTCAAAGACAGTCCCTAGTTCATCGGAATGATGTTTAATGATGGTTTGGGAAAAGAGATGGGGTCGTGGTGGTTGCACCCCTCATGCCATGTTGCACATTGTGCTCTCCAGTCCCACTAATAGCTTCGAAAATCTAACCATCTAAAAAATGGTTTAAGGGCCTATATTCTCCCTGAATCATTCGAAAAAAAAAAAAAGGGTTCCCTAGAGACATCAAAACCTTATCTTACATTTTCCCACGTACACTGACTGCTTCCTCTTCTTCTCTGAAGCTAGCTTAGTTTATTCTTCTTTATTGGGGATTTATTGGATAACAGGCAAGATTTTTAATTATTAAATTAATATAGGATAATAATAAATGTGTATTATGATTATTAAATATGGACTCAAACTACACACTTACCATTGGACCATTCAGTTTTGGACAAGGTCACAACTTTTATCAAAAGTGTGAAATTTAACATATTAAAATGTATCACAGCTTTCGAGAAAATTTGCTTTCAACTTTATACTCAATCTGTGACACATTACCACCATCCAATTTTACATCCAATTGTTGACAATGATTGATACGTTCATGTATCAAAAACAAATGGTCTCATCATAAGCATTTCCACATTTCCATATAAATGTGTTCAAGATTTTGCAAACTATACAGTTCCAAATTGTTTGAAATGCGTATCAAAATTAAAATATCAAAGATCAGTATCACATGAGCTTTACTTAACTTTATCAAATCCGAACTGCTCTATCTAAGCCTTACTCGATTTTAGGGTTACTTTTATGTGAGTGGCAAGTTTCCTTTCAAATACCAAATTCTATGCATTTTATCATCAGCAATGTTTTCATGGTGATAATAACGGGAATCCTTGAAACATCACTATAAATTGATTTTTTACCGTAATTATTGGAGTAATTACCAGGATTATAAATAGAGATAAAACTGTGTTAAGACTCCAAGTCTGAACCCAAAAGCACAGGTTTGAGCCAAAAAAACCTTCATTGTTGGTGAACACCATAATAAAGTTGAGCAATCTTGCGATGCTCACTCCCCTCAAACAATTTTCTTGATGAAGCCTAAAGAAGGCTACCATTCGATTACTTCAACGGAAATGATTGTGCAGGAGGTATCTCACGTTCGTAATGCAGGAGTTCCCTCTAAACTGGTGTGATGGGCAGTGGGATGGCAATTATCCACCCCGCTACTCAGTTCCATACAAGGGTAGAGAAGGGGACTCGTACATAATCAAATATAAGAGACCTCCTGCCTGATCATTTCAGGGCATATTCCAGGTGAAAAGGTTTCTATTTCCATCAGTTTTTGCAGTTGATGCACCAAAAGATCCTTGATTTTTCCATGTAGTTCAAAACGACAACAACCCCATTAATGTGACAAAACAGGATCATTTGCAGATAAATCTATCTGAGAAACATATTTAATGGGGTGTTGACTCCCAAAGTAGAAGAACAAGATGGCAAACGGTATCCAAGAGTAAGCTTTCCTTTCAGCAATGAATTGCTATCTGCTGTTCCTGCCTGAAGTCACTATAGGTGCAAGTAGAATTGTGTTGGAAGATCTTTCCAATCTGCAAGAATAGGTATGTAAGCTATCTATTTGCAGCCCTCGTTATAATCCACAAACAGTGGGCATCCACACGAGCGCACATGAGAGAGAGAGAGATTCTTACTTCATAATCTCGTCCACTGATTTCATTACTTCTATACAATTGGTCTCCAAAACTTGACCTCCAAATATAATCTCATCCAAAATTGTATGTATCTGCATTCACCAATATAACTTTCGATACTGACAAAGGATCAAATAAGACAAGCAGCTGAAAGCCAGTTTATTTTCCTTTTTGTGAGCACCATGCTCATTGAGTGAATAGATGTAATATGCAGTGAAAGAAAAAAGTGTTGAGATGTATAATGTCAAGTTACACAAAACGTGGCAAATAAAGAGAAATATGCAATAAATTAGATACCTAGAAAGTATAAAGAATGACAATGCTCCCCAACCTCCCATTATATAGCCCATGTAAATAGCCCATATAACACTAAGGTGATACCTACCAAAAGCAACCAAGACTCGGTGTTTTCAAGTTTCAGAAAATCTAGTGATTTTTTCCCATGATCTGCTGTAATTTTAGAACTTCATAATACATTTCTCCTTGAATATAAAAAGCGTAAACAGACACTCAGCAGATTGGCCTATATTTTTTAGTTTCAATGGATGAGAACTAATATTAGATATCACACCAAGCTTAAAAGCTGAAATTCAATACAATTCTGCAAAATGCCAAGTAAAATTCAAATGTAATATCAGTTAATTTCAATTAATAGAGGTGTCCAACTGTGGCCATTTCTGATATTCTTCTGCTTACCTATCCCTCAAAATATTTCTTTCAATAGTATAAACATAAATCTAGCAAGATAAAATACCCAAAAGCAACTCTCAGAGCAAATTAAGTAGCGAAGGAATGGAATTTGGAGTCATGGGGTTCCAAAGACAGCTTTAAAGGGCCCGCTAAGCGAACTTGAAAACCATGAACCTGCTAGAGGAGAACCCGACGCACCCGTTGTCAACATGACTAGGCCATTTTAGGCTAACAGCATCACCAGACCCTAGATAACGTTATCACCATTTTAAAGATAGAACCCCTCAAAATTTGAAGATCTCAGCATTCATTTTCTTCCAAAATTCTCCAAATGATCACCAGATGACAGAAAACACTACTTCTTAAAATCTATCACAGGAAAAGAAGGCCACAAAACCCCTTATCCCCAGGACAGAAAGAAGAACTTCCAGAAAAAATAGAAGCCACAATGCCAAAGCCGCACCCCACACAAGGGCGTGTTTGAATGACCGTGCATATTGGCATAATTCCAGACTGTGTTAGTAAGTCTAACACTCGAGACTGTAAAATTGGGTCCCAATGTTTTCTTTTCTTGACGTTTTGAGAGACAGCTGCTACATATCATTCCACATTCTGAGGAGATATGCAGAACCCAAGAATACATGTTAACAGGCACACATCCTGGGCTGGCAATTTCTCATGCAAACACGCCTTAATTTGCTCTATGAACTGTACTTTTCCCTGAGCCCTTACCATGAGGTATAATAAGCAGAGATTTTAGAAAGAAACTACGGGCCATGCCCGTGCCTCAACAGCAAGTAAATTAGTTGAGTTCACTTGAAATTTAAACCCCATAATTTCCATAGAATTAACAACGCCCCAAACAAAGCTTACAAAAATGCAGACATTAGAAAGAAAATCTTTGAATGACAATTGTCAGATCAGCCACAATAAAAGGCCAATCAGAAATATTTTGAACATGATAGTAAATACCTTGCCAAAATTGAACACTACGTCAAGCTCGCAGACATTTTTGAAACATTTGTCCAGTGTCTCCACAAATACTGCAATGAAACATTCGATTAGATTAACATCGATAGTAACCGGGAACAAAAAAGTTGAGATGTCAAATGTAGAAACTATAAGAAGCAAAAAATCATGCTTTTATTAAAAAAATTGTTGCATCGTCATTAACTATCCATGTGACAACTAAGCCACCATGAAACATAATTCCATGCTAAGCGCTAATCTTATTGAAGATATCAGTTTCAAAGCAGCACAGCAATCATTAATGGCATGCTACTGAATTGTATGGAACGTCGCCATGGACAAACGAGTGGATTCTATTTAAGAAAATCCTCCACTATAATCTACACAAAACCACCACTCTTTTTAGTATTTATCAAAGTGTCATTCTTTTAATAAATCCAAGTACAATTTGATTTAAACAAATGGGCATGCTAAAAAAGCCAACCAGTTAAACATTCTGATGATAGTTTTTTTTTCTTTTCTTTCTTTTTTTGAGAAGAATGACATGGACACAGACACTGTTGCAAGATTAAAAATAGTTCTGAAGTCACCTTGTATAAGATCTAGCATGGCGAGCTCATTTTCGGTAGTGTCGAAGACAAAAACAAAATACAGAGTTGCATAATGCTTGTACACCAGTCTGGTATTCTGCATTTAAATGGACAGTAATAAAAAGCTGCTGGTCGTTAGAAGTGGAACTGTATAGGCACCAAAAAAAAAAAAACTACACATGCAAGTATCTCATATAGTTGCAAAGAGAGCAAAGTCATACGACCGCAAAGATTCTTCTAAGATTGTGCTGTTGACACAGTTATTTCCCATGAACAGTAACAGAAGAGATAGAATATCCTTTTAATATCCCAGTGATACACACCAAATCAATATCTAGAATTAAAAACAGTAATCATAGCATGAACCAGAGCTGAAACAGGAGCAGGAGCAACCGAAACAGCAAAATTGAATAAGAATCGCCACCACAAAAGAGCAGCAGCCCTGCAGGAAAATCCAACTCGGGGGATATCTAAAAATTTACAGGTGATACAAGAAGGTTCATTCTACCATATTTAGCAACTTATCAACCAGTAACAGTCAATTACCACTTTTATCTTCAGAACTTCGAAGTCAGTATGAGAACGAGTAAGAAGAAATAATAGTAGAGGATGTAAAAACATATGAGGAAAAAATAATATTAGAGGATGTAAAAACATATGAGATGTTTTGCTACCCAAAGATGTTTCAGTACATAACTCCCGGGCCAAGGGGAACACATTTTTGTAATATTACACTTATATTAATGCAAAGGTTAACATCTTCAAAAAGATGAGGTAACTGATTTTCTACATAGATCAGCTAGTTTCTATGACTAAGAAACTTCATAATCACCTCCCACAAAAAATCTTGACTTCCACCGTTAAAGCCAAGACTGTGAAACAAGAAAACTTGTACAAAGGAAGATTCAGCGCAAACACAGTTTGTGCACCGGTACTAAAAGCATCCACAATCAATTTGTAAAAGCGAGGGTTGAGATGAATCACAGTAGGAACATGACGAACAGTGGGCAGAAGCAGAACCATATCTGTATGGTACCTAATCTCCATTCATTTTCCAAGTGCATGATGGATATGCTGCCTCTGTAACTTCCAACATAACATTGTGTGCACACATGGTGCTCCCAAAACACATTTCACATGAATGTAGCAAAAAACAGGTTTTATATCAGATTAGAAATTAAACAGTAGGAACTTAAAAGGATGCGTTGCCCGACACATAATGAGTATCAATGGATCAAATCCTTTCAAATTAGCTGAAACTTGAACCTATCAACTGATATCCTCTCCTATGTTTGGCAAGTCTTCCAATTTTATTAATGATCCAATGCTCTCGTCGGCCATTTCAATGTCAGTTAGGTTTCACAATACATTTATATTTTTACTCTTGTGCAATGAAGGATATGCTCACTAAGGATGTTGCTACTGTGAAGACCCAAGGCTTATCAAGCAATTCTCTTGATTTTCTTCTTTTCTCTCTCCCCCATCTCTCTCATTGCATAAGCCTCTGCTGTCTGCACTCCCTTTTGGAATACAACCTGACATATACTTTTATCTCTTTTCCAATGGTTAACTATCAATATATATATATATATATATATATATATATATATATATATAGAGAGAGAGAGAGAGAGAGAGAGAGACGAACTACGACGTACTACGTTACGTACGTAACGTAACGTAAACGTAACGGTACGTACGTACTACGTTACGT